CACATTAATAAAGAGAACGATGGGCTCCACTGTCATACGTGTATGCATGGAACATACTTTACAGTATCTTCCTCCTGTGAACCTCTCTTCCCTCCTTCTGCCTCCCCAGATCTCTCTCTTCCCTCTTCTTACTGCTTTTTCTTTCTTTATCCTCCCTCTAGATTTCCCATAGGAGAGAAAACCTGTGATACTTGTCTTTCGAAGTCTGCCTTATTTTAATAACATAATGGTCTCCAGTTCCATCCATTTTCCTGCAAATGACAGCATTCCCTTCTTTATGGCTGAATAGTACTCTGTTGTGTGCACCACATTTTCTTTACCCAGTGCCTGCTGCCAGGCCCTCGGCTGATTCAGCCGTGGTGAAGAGGGCGTGTTGAGCACAGCTGTGTGGTGCCTCAGATTCTCTGAGTCCTCTGGGTATACACTGAGGAGTGGCATGGCTCACTCTATCCACATTACCTACAGCATCCCGATGTCCCGGGGTCTCTATGACCATCTATGACTGTCCTCTGGCCTGTGGCTTTTGTGAGGTGAAATTTAGACATTATGTGGCTAGTTATGGATTAGGAGTGACCCACAGAAAAAGAAGGTGTTTATGCTTAGGGAGCCAACCAGAAGAAAGTCATTTCAGTGGGGATTTTGAAGGGGCCGTGGGGTGGGAGTCTGGCAGGTGGTGATGGCAGATGAAAATCTGACCAGAGAGGGGCTGGCATGTCCTTGGGCACCAGGGCCAGGGACCCTGCCCAAGTGAGGGGTCAGCAGAAGGGGCTGAGGCAGAGGGAGGAGGCAGGGCCAGATCTCCCAAGGGGCCTTGTCAGCCATGTAATTAGAAAACTTTGGATTTTATCCCCAAATATAAAAGTCAGAAAACACTCACTCATGCTTTGAGGACATGCTGACAACAGAGATGAAAACCATAAATGAAACCAGGATTAGACAGCAGAGAATATGTGTTTTGCTGCTAGGACCCTGTCCACAGTCAGCAGTGCTGTGTTCAGGAAGCTTACCTGTCCGGACAGGTAGAGGTGAGGGGCTGGCTTGCCTCTTTCGGGTGTGCACATGAAAGTCTCCCTGTAGGCTGCTGTATCCATTTTGGCTGGGGGACAGCTTAGCACTCCCTGTGGGGTACATGTCCTGGGGCAGGAGCAGGGGCAGGTATGCAGTGCGTCCCCGTGGGACCAGCAGACCAGTTCTGCTGCTATGTGGCTGCTCCTGCTTCTGTCCCTAAGCTCCAGAGCCTGCTGTCCTGTTCAGTAGGTGCCGTGCGCTGCTCCTCCCAGATGTCTCTGACTTTCTCCGCCTTTTGAAATGGAAGCGGAGCAGGAGGATGCGTTCGTGTCCCAGGAGAGGTCCAGGGAGCACTGGCTGTCCTAATGTTTGTGACCTTGGCACTTTAGTAAAACTTTTGATGCTGCCTTGGTTTCCCTTGCTGTAACATGAAGACAGTGACTTGTACACTGACCAAAACAAAGGTCATTGTAGTCTTGGTACCCTGCATGCCAGGAAGCAACATGATTTTAAGTCAGGGAGGAAACAAATCAGTCCTCAGACCACACTGCTGTGCTCCTCAGGAGGGGAGAGGCTGAGGGAGAAGAGAAGGAAGAAAGAAGTAAAGAAAAAAGAAGTTTCAGTAAACCCTTTAGACTGTGACAGTGAGGCCAAAGCAAGCTTTTATGAGAACCACATTTGGGCCCAGGAATAAAAAATAAGAGCAGCATTCTTTAAAAATTATTTATGATTTTAAGCACATGAAAGGCATATCGTGTACCCAGGGAGGGCATAATGGGGAACAGCTGGCTAACATGTGTCTCACTGTTTCTGAGGATGTTCCTAATTCTCTGATGTCCAAGAATAACAATAATAATGATGCCACTGCTGATTGTATTAATATCAGAGGGTCTGGGGTGCCTTTGTGAGACTCTGCAGATGGCAAAAGAAGAGTCTGGGCCACTGGGTTTAATGGGAGCTCCAGTCTGCCTCCTTCTCAGGAAAGGAAACTGCTGAGGACCAAAGAGCTTTAGGTCCCAGGAAAGAGCCCTGGATGGGGAAGCCAAGAAACCTGGTTTCCAGGCCTGCTTTTCCAGCGACTCTGGCAATGCCTTGCCCCTGTGTGGCTCTGTTTTCTCATCTCTGAGACAGAGATGCCTCGAGCCCGTCACGGGCCCCAGTGGGACCCCACCTGTGGAGGCACTGCACGTCCTGGAAAGCATTCTTCAGCACGTGGCGGGTTGCTGTCGCCCCTGCATTTCTCCAGTAGTTGGCACAGCTTATCACTAAGCTCAGGACATGACCTCCAGGAGGAGCCTGGAAAAGTGTGCGTGGAGGGGTGTTTCTCTTTCATTTAGTCATTAATGTCACAGAATGTCAGGAGTGAGCTGTGCTTTAGAAGGCATTTCCCTTGTGGGTCTGGAGCAGCACTCAGTCTAAGGCTCACCACTACTGAGTCCACCCAGTGCCCGTAAGTTATGTGACTTTTCCCTCTGGCCTGTGGGAATAGGTGCTTCTCCCAGTGCTTCCTGTTAGTTCTTTCTTCAGTCCTTGGAAATTTCCCCACATCCAGGCCATGAAAGATGAAAGAAGGGCCTTCTGTAGGCCCCTGGGGCTCTTGGGGTCCCTCTGTCCTCTGAGTACTCTGTACTGTGCATTTTAGTTCTCAGGGTGTCTCCAGACCTAGAACTGTCTCCTTAACTGTGGGGATTTGCTGGGCTTCACCTGTTTGCCCTTCCACTCTCAAGGCCGTGGGTCACTTGTCTATTTCCAGTCCCTCCAGGGTCGCTGCCCTTTGTTGCCTGATGTCCAGTAACTTGAAAACCATCATCTCATGGAGTTTGTCTGGAGGTTTTGGGTTTTGGGTGGGAAGCTAAACCTGATCCCTGGTACTCTGTCATGATGGGAAACAGAAGTTTCTGATTCTTCTTGTGGAGGTGAGGGAACAGTGGGGAAAGTGCCTTGCTCAAAGTTAGGCAGCTAGACAGCTGGTGTCAGCAGGGACCAGGACCCAGGTCATTGGACCGGGATTGTGTTTTCATGGTGTGCCAGGTACCAGGAGAGGATCCTCTGCCCTCCGGAAGTCCAAAATCTGTTGGACAAATAAACCAAAAATTAGAGACAGGTAAACAAGGAAGAGTAAGCATGGTAAATTTTATGGTGCAGGTGATTCTTTGCAGGGAACCCAGGAAGCATGACAGGCAGGGAATGGGCGAGTTGGGAAACATGACAGGAAGTGAGTGGGAAAACTGACACTTAGGCCTTGGTGCTAAAAGAGAGGTAGATGTTATCCAGGTAAATAAAGGAGCCAGGAAATGCCAGGAGTAGGTACAACACACACCGAGGCATGGAGGTGAGAAGTAGCCCTTGCTCCCAATCCTAGTGGCCACAGCATTGTAGTGTGATGCAGTGGCATGTGGCCTGCTGTGCACGTGTGTCTGGCACCATTCCCCAGTCACTGATATCTGCAAATCTCTGCGCAATATAAGCCTGCTGTGGGGCTGTGGCCTGGGAATGTTTGTGTAGGGACTTGTTCAGGGCTGTGGAGTGGATGCTACTCTGAGGTTTCTGGTGAGACTCTGTCCTTGCACACTCTTCACGTTTTCCTGAAAGCAGATGATAATATCACTTTTAGAGGTCTGGAGTATCGCCCATCAATGGTCAAACCAGCTGGACATGGTGGTACATGCCTGTACTCCCAGCTACTCAGGAGGCTGAGTCGGGAGGATCACAAGTTTGAGGCTGGCCTGGGCAACTTAGTGAGACCCCGTTTCAACATAAAATTGGCAAAGAGGGCTGGCAGTATCTGATGTGTCTCAGTAACATACATGCTTGCCAAGGATGGGTTCAATTCCCAAAACTACCCACCCCCCAAAAGTCAAAATGTATCCAGATCACACTCCTGGTCCTGTGAATGACAGCGCAGAAGCCCATTCTCTTCAGCTGCTCCTCTAGGTGAGAGTTACCAGGTCCTTTTTTCAAGACGAGAGTCGGGAGCTGCTTGGAAGTTCTTAGCTGGATTTTCTGCCAGAGCAGGCCCTGAGACAATTGGTAGGCTATGAATCTGCACCAGTGAACTGCAGGCCTTCTTGGACACCCTGGGCTGGGGTCCCGAGTGCTTTGGCACCTGGTGGGGAGGCCTTTCAGCCCTCCAGAGACTTTGGGATTTTGGCATTGTTCTCCAAGCCTGAAAGGAGAATTTGTAGGTATTTTGTGAACATCAGTACTTTATTACAGCTTTTCTATTAGAAGTAGAACCTCTGTGTCTTAGTAACTACATTTGCAAATTAGAAAAACCCCAAATTACAGTATAGGCAGAAGCAATCTGTACATTATTTTAAAAACTGTTCTATAATTATTAATAATTGCCAAGTGGTACATCTCTGCCTTACTCAGGGCTGGTGCCTTTACACGTTTGATATGATGAAAGACTGATATTTTGAAAGCAAACTTACCTAAGCAGACATTTCCTAGAGAAACAAAGAAAGTGGTTCTGGGTGGTCACAGAAACACAGTGTAGTTGTAGGCACAGATTTTGGATTAGGTTGACTTGGGTGCAGTCCAAACCCTGGTGTCTACTGTGGTCTGTGTGCCCTTCACTAACTGGCCTCGCCTGTTGTAACTCTCATTTCCTCAGCATAGTATGGGAATAACATCACCTACCGGGCCGGGCTGCTGTGAGCATTGGAGCTACTGTGTCTGGCACTAGATGCTATTTATGCAACAGTTCTATAAGCATCCATCCAGTGGGATATGGTGACTACCACAGAGTAGGCCTGCAGTTTCTCTTGATGATGTCAGAAGGTCAGAGTGGGAAAGTCTGGACTCCAGTTGTTTCCCGAATTGTCACCTTGTGACAGCAAAGGAAGGGTCCTGCCTGTCGATTCTCCTGGCTCCTCCTTTACCCACCACCCTCCCAGGGCTCTCACTGTACAGTTCTGGGTGTAAAGTCCGTTTCCCTCTGAGTGTCGCCTGTGGCCCCCTTTCCAGATCTGTTGCTTTGCTTTTCATAGATGTACGAGATCAAAGCAGGAGGCAGCATAGCGAAGAAATTCAGTGCGATTCTGCAGAAGCTGAGCTCGCCTCTGCAGCCTAGGGTTCCAGAGCACAGCAACAACAGGATGAAGAACCTCTCCTACCCATTCTCCAGGGAGAAAATGTACCTGTGAGTGCGGGACAGGCATGGGGAGGGGCTGTGGAGGAGGAAAGTGGAAACACAGTGAGTGCACAGTGTGGGAGCCACAGGAGGGAGCATGCTCTCACCGTGAAACGTCATGACCGCTCAGGATAGGGTCCGAAGCCGGGAGATGAAGAAAACACCAAAGACCAAGATTCCTCTTAGCTGGGACCGCTTGGGACCGCAGCCTGTCAAGAGCTGAGGGCCGCCTGCGGCACTGCGCGCTCTTCATTCCTAGTGGAAGGCAGGCAGGAAGAGAAGGCGGGGCAGGTAGTGTACGTGGCCTTCCTGGCCTAGGCGGAACTTAGTGTGCTTGTTTCATGGAGGGGCACGCCCTGGAAGGGACTGGGGAGGGATCCAATGTACCTGTCTCCGGGGCTGTGCCTCAGGATCTACAATATGAGCCACACAATCTAATCTGTGGAGGAGAAAGGGAGCAGGGAGGAGACAGAGGGCCATCTTCAGGCTTGGCCCTAGCAGTGAAATACTGCCCGTGCCTCTGACTCCCTCTCCTCATGTGACATTATCCCAGAAAGCCCTGGGCGTTTGTCCAGTGGAGACCGTGCGCTGGCAGCTGTAAACTGCGGCACTCTGTGAAGAAGCCAGTGATAGACACCTGTTGGCCTTCTGCAGGGAACCCCGCTTCCCAGTTCCCCATTTAATGTGGTTTGGACACGATGAGATAAGCCAGAGAGCAGGGGCTGAAGCTTCTGGGTGTCTGTATTCCCACCACATGTTTGTGCCCTCGCTGGCTCAGAGGAGCCTCCCACTTCCACCCCAGAAAATGCTCTTTGGGACTGGCCACTTGGGAACCAGCTGGGAGCAGGAGCCATGGCTGGAGGCAAGAGGTGTAGGGCCCAGACCCTCCTCCTGCTGCAGGAGTTGAGGGGAGAGGTGTGGTATCAGAGGTGAGGAAGGAAGGAATTGAGGGAGAGAGGCGGGGTGGGGTGGGGCAGCAAAGACAGGAGGATTTGTCCTCCGTGGGAGGTGGTAGTCACAGAGCAGGATTTCTGGGTCTTGGGATGGCATCTGCTGACCATTTTGGCCACGGGAGACAGTGATTCCTCAAGGGCAGGCCAGGGTCAAGCAGCCATAGTGGCTGAGCTGGGACTGGCCTGGTGACACCTTGCCTGCTGTTCTGTTGTGTGTGTGTGCGTGTGCGCTCATGCATGCAAATGGGGATTGAACACAGGGCTTTCACACTGAGCTACATTTCAAGCCCTTATTTTAAAAAAATTAATTATTTTTTTATTTTGAGACAGTTAGTTACCTCGGCTGGGCTTGAATGTGTGATCCTCCTGTTTCAGGTCCCCAAAGTGCTGCAATATATGCATGCACCACCCTGCCTGGCTCTTGCTATTCTTTCCCATTATGGCTTTTTTCACATCTCATATCTTGCCTTCCCTGGACTTTGATTGACCCCTCCCACACATCTAATTCACTTCCCTCCTGCTGCCTTTCAAGGGCAGTTCATGAGCCCTGTCCATTTGGGAAAACTATTTTTCCCTAACAGAAGTCCATCCTTGGTGCTCTCAGGTGTTGAGTTCTACTCCATATCACCTGCAAAGGTACATCCCCAGTGGATGGTGACTCCTGGGGGCTGGGAGTACTGCAATCACCTGTGTGTCCTCTAGCATAGTGCCCCAGGCATGAGTTCTCCACACATGCCTTTTCTGAGTGAAAAGTTCCATATATGGAGTGGTGAACAGACACAAATTTCATATCTGATTCAGTGACGGTGAACCTATGGCAAGTGTTTTTCTTTTAGGATAAAAGATGTTAATGTATGATTTGTTTTTTCAAAACTAAGACCACAGTATTCAGGTTTGGTAGCATTGATGGCGTTTTTGTGAAAAATAGTGGGTTTCAGGTTGCAGTTCAGGTACTCAGTCTCTAAAAGGTTCACCATCACTGATCTAATTGATGCAAGGAGCGTGACAACATGAAATGAAATTTTGAAAAACAAGGAGTTATAACCCCAATACTCTGAAACTAGACATTTTTTTTGTATTTTTATTGTCTCTGTCTACATACAGATATATTTGCTACATGGCTTCATTTTGAAAACTTATCGTAATGTTTTTCTATCATGGTATAATTTTTTCTATTTACAAACTGTTCATAATTATAATTGTCAAGGACTGAATGTTAATTTATTATGCCAATTGTGGAATTGCTAGTGAACTCCACAATTTATATGATAAATAATTTTGCAGTGAATTTTTTGTGTAAGGTTTTTTGTTCAGTTTATTATTTATCATAAAACTCCTATGATAAGTTTTCAGGTGAGATCAGGAATGTTCAGAGTGGTATGGCCGCAGACCTGTGATAAGTTTTCACACTTATTGGGTCAAAACAGCATAAAGGGCTGGGGTGTAGCTCATGTACTTGGAAGACATGAGGGCTTGGATTTGTTCTCTAGTGCCACAAAAACAAAAACGAAAACAGCATAAACACAGTGTGTACCTTGTATGTCTTGTCATTTTGCTCTCTAAAGGACTCCTCTGGGTTGGGGATGGAAGTGGTCTTGGGTTGAGAGTATAAAATGAGTTTACTTACCATTTGCTTTGTTGGTGTCTCCAGGTACAACATCCAGGAAAAGGACACCTTCTTTGACAATGCCACCCGCAGCCGCATTGTAAGTAAATGGATGTGCTGAGTTAGGAAAGGGGTTTGACAAAGGCCAAGCAGCTCTTGTCCTCTCTGCTACCTCTCAGCATTATTTGCATGAGGTACCCTAGCAACTGAAAGGTATACCCAAGAGTTCCCCATCTCTTTAGCAATCAAGGATAGCAACTAACTTCCCTCACCCAGGTTTGAGAGCAACCGCTCTGCTTTACGGATTGCAGTGAAAAAGTTCACCTAGACTGTTAAGTGTCAGAACAAGAATAGAAGCAATCCTTCTGATTGCTGGGCCACTGTGCACTACATGCATTTTGTTCTTTGCATCTCTGTATCAAGGAATTATGTAAATTTACATTACAAAAGAAACCTAGAGTCAGCCAACTTGCCCAAGAATAAAATCACCTGCCAAATCAAGAGAAAGATAACATTCATGACTAAAGTTCTAGTCTTTTTGCTGCTTACATCAAGGTTTTGAATTAGGTATAAATTTTATTCTAATACAAATATGTATGTGTTCTGTGTCCTTATCCTTAGCTATGCATTATCTTTATTAACTGTTGGTTTTTTCTCTACCACTCTGGTGTCAGCCCATATACAGAGGTGAGAAGAGAGCCCCAGGGAATACTAGAACTTCCTTATTCCCACATGGGAAATGTGGATCTCTAGGAAAGAGCTTCCTTTGCTCCTTCATTCTGTTGATCCTGGGGAAAGAACTTATGTTTCCACTGGAGAGTAAGAGTTAGAGACCAAACCAAGAAGGACAAGAAGGGACAGGCGGCTGGAGGGACTCTTGGGAGCATTTCCAAAGCACAGGAAACATGGCCATACCCTCTGCTTTCAGGATGTGCTAGAAAATATCTTGGGCCCTTCAGCCTTGTGTTTTAGAAAGGGCTAAAAGTGAACATATGATTTCTTTTTTCTTCTTATGGAAAAAGGTGTGAACTTCTCGTTTTCTTTGATGCTACTATTACAATGCAATTAAATCTCACTGTGGCTTGGGTCCTGCAACTGTGGGGGGAGTTACAGGGTGTTGTAGAGATTACCCGATAATTACAAAGTGCTTGTAAAGTAATACAATGCATATACATGCTGTTCCTAATTATTATTGCTGTTGAATTACTGCTCTGTATTAGAAGCAGAATCAAAAACTCTGGGCCCCATTCTGCTGGAAGTTATTTATTTACCACTCCCTCTCTCTGTAGCTGGAACAGGGAGTGTGAATAACGACGGGACAGCACATCTTCTCTCATTCATCTCTGGAAACTTTTTCCTTACTTCGGCCCTTTCCTCAGAGGTGGAAAGGAGCCTTCAGTTTTGTCCTTGATCTGCTCCACTGTGGGTTTTGTCTGCAGGAGTCACCTGCAGATGGTAACGTCCTCCTGCCCCCATTTTGTTGGTGCCTGGCCAGGCCAGCTGCTTGTCCGGAGCAGAGTCCTTGCCTGGCATCTGGCTCTCTGGGAGTCCCTATGAGGCCGGCAGCTTGGCCTATGTGCCCTTGTGCGAGTCCCTCAGCAGGGAGCACCCTTTCCCTTTCGGGACAGGGAGGCTGTGTCCTCTGTGAGGACGGGGTCCGGCGTTCTCCTGGGCACTCCATAGACTGTGTCAGAGCCAGAGGCGAGGTGAGAGCACCTTGCAGCGGCCCCTCGCTGCCTGGACGGACCCGCGCTTCCCAGCCCCGCACCTCCGGTAGCTGAGGCACCACCGCGTCTCTTCTCTGTGGTGTGTGAAGGGCGAAGTTCTTCTCCTGACTCTGCCCACGCGGCTGACGGGGACGCGGGAGGCGGTGCTCACGCTCTCTGTGGTCTCTTTCAGGTGCACGAGATCCTGAAGCGCACGGCCTGTTCCCGCGCCAACAACACGATGGGTAAGGAGCCCGCCACCCCGCAGCGCAGCCCACACCCGCGCAGGCCTCTCCTTTCCTCTGGGCTCTCAAACCCTTTGCGTATCCCCATCGTGCAAGGGCCCCTCCTCCGACAGCTTTTAACAAGCCCCACACACCCCCAGTGTGTACTGCGAAGACGGTGAGCATCTCGGAGGCCTCTTGGTCCAACCTGTGGCCCTGTGTGCTGAGGCGGGGAGTGTGCCTTGTCGGGCCAGCCAAGGATGGCAGGCTTGGAACGGGCCTCTCAAGGGCGGCTTTTTCCTCTCTGCGTACAGCACAGTCCTTTCACCCTGTGGTTTTGCGGAGATGAGGATGTTTAAGAAACACCTCTGCAGCAGGATCCGCGGTGTTCGGGACTTTGGCAGTAGAAGGCAAGTGGTTTGACAGTGACAAAGGTGAAGCCCAGGCCATGTCCCTTGAGGCTGCTCTTTGGAAGCAAACACTAGCGTTGCACACGTGAGTGCCCTTTCCTCAAGACCTGCTCCAGAAGGCTGGACTCTTGCTTCCAAGGAGCTGCCTTCTCAAATCAGCTTCTAGACCCTTAGTGAGAAGCACCTTTCTAAATTTTTTTTTTTTTTTTTTGTCTGGGGTTTG